ATCAAACTATGATATGAGAAGCCTAATCAAAAACACTTGAATCACATAAAGTAAAAATAATGCATTGTTTTTCATTTCAGAAGTGTAGTTTTGAAAATGAAAACGCCATTGTTAACATTTTATTCTCTGGAAAATAACAGGTTTGGTTGTGTTTAAGAGTCAAGACACTCAAACAGATGATATTTATTAAAACAGGAAACACAAACCGACTCGATGGTCAAGTCAGAATTACCTCGTTTTTGCCTCCGAATGTCACCAAGATGTAGTGATCTTCGACGCACACAACACACACACACATCACACACACACCCACACACACAAACAACACACACACCCAAACACACCAACACCACACACAAACACACACACACACACAGATTGGAAGCAGTATGCAGACAACGAATTCATCAGAGCAAATTTTACCCTCCAGATATTGTTTTCCTCATTGAATGTTCTTGCTTTTAATATTTATTAAATTGCACATGGCAAAGAAAAGTGGACACACTTCACACACACACACCACACACGTCCCTTCCATTCTCCTTGATGAATCGATTCCCCATCTCCACACCCTTCTTGACCTTCTTCCAAACATTCAGTACTCGGTTAAACCTGAGTTGTCAAGTACTATAACCTGAGGATAGCACACACACACACACACACACACACACACACCTACACAGAAAGATATAGTCAAACTATTCTCAAGTCCTGATTTTCGCCAAAATACCATAATACTGAATTGATCTTTGACCCCACAAACTGTCATGATGCTGTTTTCTTAAAAGGAATAGAAGGCGACTTACGGCGTCTGTAGATAAAAACATAATGGTGATTATATACTAATGAAAACAATAATTATTCATATTATATTACAGTATATCCTCCTAAATGTCACACACTGGACCTTTTTTAAAGCATGCATTGCATGTGAATCATGACTACCCAACATTTCCTGTGTTTCCTTGGAGCAGTCGTACCCTTTAGAGCTGCAATGATCAGTTAATTAGTCAACTGAGAGAAATATTTTTGCCATTTATTTTGACATTGATAAATAATTTCAGTCATTTTAAGCATAAATGTTAAACACTTTCTGGTTCTACCTTCTTAAATGCATTTTGTCCTCTGGGAAATTGTGATTTTTTTTTCTTTCAGTATTTTTCTTTATTTTATACTAAACAATTAATCAGTTAATTGTGAAAATAATCTGCACATTAATAGATAATGAAAGTAATCGTTAGTTGGAGCCTTAGTGCACGTGCTGAATGCTATGTGACCGCAAGTTGCAATGACACACATGAACGTTGAAGGCAGAGAAGGAAGGTCAGAAATGGTGGAAAGTTTTAAAGACAAACAGAGAACTTGTCCCTTCTACAATCCCCAAACTCTCCTCTCTGCATGTTTAGTTAGTTAGTAATCTCTCATACATACAGGATTCACCTCTCATCTGCTACCTAGTGGATATACTTTTGAATCCTTCAGATACGCACACTGTACCCTGACGTATATCAACAAAGCAGATACAAAATGTAGTATATAAACACAGATGGGAATTCATGCAGTGAGAGAGGAAGAGGTAGAAAGAACAAATGTGTTGGAGAGAAGAAGAGAAGCAGGAGAAGCTGAACTGGTAGGGAGATAGAGGAGAGATAGATAAAAGTGAAGCAGATTTAGAAGGAGAATAGCTCCCCCTTTCCAGTGGAGGAAATAAAGAGTGCAACTTTGGGTTAAAGAAGGTGTTGAAGAAATTAAAAGGTGACAGAAAGTTAGAAAAACAGAACTCATGAGAGTGAGGAGAAAGTAGAGATGGAGGAAAGTCGGGAGAGAGAGGAAGGGAGAAAAGGAGCTTGTGAAACGGGGGACAGGGATTTCAGTCTCCTTTGTGGAGTTTGTTTGTGTTGGCAGTGGTGTTAATGGGTTAATGTGCCTGAGAACGCTGGGACCAGTCTGAACAGTCTCACTGGGTTGGACCTCCGGGTCACACAGACGGACACGTTACCTGGAGCTCACAGGTCCGACGCCCACAGCAGCCCCCTGACCTGTCCAGATGTGCCTGAATATATGATGACAAGCTGAAGAGAAAAGAGGCAGAGATGGATAGAGGGAGAGAAAGAGAGAGGGCGGAGGGATTACTTTGTGTCGTTTTTTGGTGTTGTTTGTTGGTCTTAATGGGCCTGGGAACACTTAAAGCACTTAAACCAGTCTGACCAATTTGACCTTCAGGTCATACAGGTTAAAAGCCTTCTGCTGACAGACAGCATAACAGGGAAGGAGAGAGAGAGAGGGAGGGAGAAGAGAGGGCAAGGGAAAAGGAAAGGAGGTATTAAGAAAGGTAGGTGAGGATATGGACGAAGAAGGGAGGCAAAGATGACGGGAAGAAACTGAGGGGAGACAGGAGAGGAGGGTTGAGGTGGGGAGACGGGAGAGAGAGGTCGATGTGGAGGCGAAGAGTGGTGGAAAGATAGAATTTACTATACATACAATACATATTATCAGCTGATTTTGGATTATTACAGATATCTTAGTATCATATATATATATAACAAGATGTTTCCAGCTGGACACAAGATGTCTTCTACTTCACTGTGAAGTTGCCTCTCAGTGTTTGGTGGCACTGGGGGATTCAAGTTTCTACATCACACTTGTTGAAGTTGTCTGAACGCAACGTAGCTGCATCAGGCGAAAATATCCAACGTTATTTTTCAACTGTAAAATCTGTCACTTAAGTCTCTTAAATTACAAAGTAAAAGGGAGTAGTTCAATATTTTGGGAGTTAAGTGCTGGAACTATTTCTCTGCAGGAGCAGTGATTTACTGGCATCTTGTCACTGTGAGATTGCAGGCAACCAGTGGAGAGTAACTGCACCCAGGATGAAATGGTTCCAGCTTATAACTAACTAACTATAAAACCACTAATTTGTTCTTAGAGTACATACATCGTGTTAATTAGTACGTACATGCTTGTTGGCTATGTGCTGTAGTCACTGCAGATTTTTTTTGACTGGGACACAGGCGACGTGATCAATAATCAAATAAGCATATTCCCCAAAATGTTGAACTACTCCATGTTTGTATTAGAAAATGAACATTGGCAGATTTGTCTTATTTTTTAAACTCTCAGTATTGAGTTCACTACTGGCCTTAAAAACTCATCTGAGCTCTCGTGGTGATATCGATAGAGAGATGCATAAGAGGAGGCTGTAGGAGAAGGAACATGGAAAGGAGCAAGAAAAAGGGATGGCTGCTAGAGAGGGGAGAGGAGTGTGTGAGAGGGAGAAGGAGGGAGAGAAGAAAAGAACGGAGAGAGGAGGTCACGCTGTCAGGGCGTCTGACAGAGTGTGGAGAAAGTCTCTGTCTGCTTTTTATCGTTTATCTTGTCCTCTGTCTGTGGGAGGGGAGGTGTCGTCGTCTCTCCTTTCATCTCCTCCCATCCATCTCGCCTCCTCCTGCCCTGTCTATCCTCAACTCGAGAGGCTCTCTCTCTCTCTCTCTCTGTGTGTGTGTGCATGCGAGATGAAGGTCAGTGACGTTCTGAATATTTTAATAAATACATTTAGAAAAATGCAATGTTATAGTCAAAAACAAATACTTTCAAATACACACACTCACTTTCATTCATTGCACAGACACTTATTCCATTAGGATGGACACACACACACACACCACACACACACCACACACCCACACCCAGCCACACACACACAAACATACGGGTTCAGTCACCTGTAACAGCCGAGCTCCAGAACATCACGCCCATTAACCACCACACCGGCCCTGTGTGTGTGTGTGTGTGTGTGTGTGTGTGCTGTGTGTTGCTGTGTGTGTCGTGGTGTGTGTGTGTGTGTGTGTGTGTTTGTGTGTGGTGTGTGCGGTGTGTGTGTCGTGTCGTGACTCGCATGAAGCCATTTAGCTGTAATATACTCCCTTTTCTCTCCGTCTGTATTTGATCCCTGCTTTCTCTCCTGCTTGTTTGCTCTCGTCTCTCTCCCCCTGTCTCTCTCCCTCCCTCTCTCTCTCTCTCTCTCTCTCTCTCTCTCTCTCTCTCTGTTGGTTTTAGGGTATTTGAAGGGAAGCTACAAGTCATCGCCCCTCTCTTGTGCTACATGTAATTTCACCGTTGTGTGTGTCTGTGTGTGCACGCGCTTGGATGCGAGTTGAAGTTCTGGTCAGCGTTGTTAATCCTCTGTCCTCACCTTGCCTGGAGATGTTTAGCATAAGCATATCTGTGTGTGTGTGTGTGTGTGTGTGTGTGTGCGCGTTTACACATTAAGGGATCTGGTTAGTATTGGGTTCGCTGTATCCTGTCGTGTCCACACCTAAAAAATGCTGACTCTTTAAATGTTTTGGTGTGTGTGTGTGTGTGTGTGTTTCCTTATCCATCGTTCAATGTCTTTCTTTAAAGAGAACCAGATTAAAACCGGAACTTCTGTTCTAGAAGTAAGAAAACCTCACTTAAAGTTACAATAACATTTGTAATAACACAAATTACTCTAAAAGGGAAGTCGAGTGATCTAGTATTAAACTTCCAAACACTTGGTGCACGCACAAAAGACAAATTTAATGGTCCAGTATAGGTGCTTGCCTCCAACTGGGGACCTTTGTTACATGTCAGTCCCCCTCTTTCACGCTCTCTCTCTCTCTCTCTCATATAATTTCTTTTCATGTCTCTGCTGTCATAAAAGTTGTAAAATGTCGAACAAATATCTTGGGAAAAAGTTTCTCTGCTTTATACTTGACAGGCTGATGGTTGTCAAATGTCAAGCTATGACGGGGAGGAGTGAACGTACTGTTTTAGACATCAGAGATTGCAACTAAAAACAGGAAAGATAGCGTGGTAAAGGAGGAACGTTTTACTTGTAATATACGTAGTGCCATGGATGGTAACTCATTAATTGTTGTTTCTCTACTTCAGTAATACGTTAGTGAAACAGCTGCTAGACAGGAACTGGAGACTTTCTTTTTTCATGTTAATGTAAACATGACTTTGTTCTCTCTCTTCAGGCGTTGGTTCCTCCACAGTCGTGGCGTTTTCGGCTTTCCTCAATGGCCGTTACCCCCCTGCTGACCTCACCGGAGACATCACCGTGTCCTACAGCTCGCCGACAGGTAAACACATGCACTCGCACACAAGTTTAATACTGAGGTCCATGTGCGCTCGCTTAGTGCCAGTCAAAACTGTTATTTTAACAAGATGGGCACATTTTGGCAGCTGGGTTTTCCAGAAACATTGGTAGTAATATGTTTAGAATCAATCAAACTTGCTCTGCACCTGTTTGGCTGTAACAGTGTTGAGTGTTCTCTTGTTATTTTTTCTGTAAGAGCTGAGAACCATGCTGACTGATGCTCTTATGTAGAGCTATTTTCATTTTCTTCATACATTTAGCTCAGACAACTGTCAGTAACACCTGACATGGCACTTAAACACATCAGATTTTTCATTTGTTTGAACACTGAAGTAACATAATTTACAGAGCTGGCGAATATCTAGAATTCAAAACACGTCTTTAAATTAAACCCAGGACCTTGTGTAACAGCATTAATGTAAGTTACATTATAAGTATAGTTGCAGTTTGAACTGTAACATCGCATCCAGTGCTCTGTAACTGTGTCTGTACACCAGCTGCTAACGGGGCACTCACTTGACGTAAGGACATCTGGGCTGTTTCCAGACAAGCCCAGTTCATCCCCCTGTTCCCTCCAGGCATCTGTTTCCAGGCCCTGCAATATTTCTGGAAGATATTACTTTCCTCTGCAAACCAACAAAACCACTCTTTATTTAAAATGTCACAGACGTCCTTTTTAAAAAAAACTGATTTCAGCATTCGTTCAAAAAGCAGCTCATGAAAAAAATCCTTGTTTTCATGCTATTGTTTCCCTTGGATTACATTTGCTTTGGCAGGCCTCTGTTGGTGGAACAGTTTCCCCTCCCCAGAAGCACATTTAATGTGAAATGTCTGGAAATATCGGGAAGTGTTTCTTTTTTGTTAGGCTTTATTGTGATGCTAAAAATAGCCGAAAATAAGGAGTATTTCAATGAGCCTTGGAAGCCAAGCAGCTGGGGTAGAGTATGTAAAGGGCTGATCTCGTGTTTTGGAAGGAACCTGTTGGACTGGAAGAAGAATTGGAGGAGGGTTATTAAAAGTTGGAGGAAGAAGAGGCACGCAAGGATGGAAAAAAAGTGAACAGAGTTGAGGTAGGCTAGGAGTTAGGGGACAGCGGTAAGGAGGTGAACTGTGCCGGGGTGGAGGAGGAAAGGGAGAAAAGGTGGAGAGAAAGGAGGGATGGTATTTTAGACGGCAGATTGAGAGAAATCAATTGATAAGTGAGGTCCAGCACTAATTTTAGGTGATTAGACCTCACTTGCAGTTTGCATACTTCCAACGTTCTTCCACAGCAAACTGGGAAAACCATTTCTTTATGGATCTGGCCTTGTGCGTATGGACACTGTCATCCTGAAACAGGAAAAGGATTTTCTAAAATATACGATCGAGCATTAATATTATTCTTGACTGCAGCAAAGCAGCCAAGCCCAAACCTTTAAAATATACTTTTGGCAGTATATAGTGTATACTAAATCTGTCAGTGTACAGAACCGTGTGTATCTCTGGACTAATCTGAGATGTAGGTGGACATAAACAAGCTACCAGTTACTGTAATGACTCCTTATTTGTAAACCAGTGCAATAAAACTGCTGTACAGTGTATGTAAAGGACGTTTGTGCAGTTTTTTCTAAAATATGACCAGGATACTCTGTAAGGTCTGGTGGAATGAAAATGTCAAAATATAAGTCATCAAAATGCTGTTAAAACTAGAGCCGCAACAATAAGTCCATATGCAGAAAAATACTATTTTCACAAGCAATTAATCATTAAGCAATATTTCACGCAGAAATTACAGAAATGCTGTTTTCAGCCTCTCAAATATGGAGATTTCCTGATTTTCTCTGTTTTGCATCATTAACTGAATATCTTTATGTTGTAGACTGACAAAAGAAGACATTTATTTGGGTTATTCTATACATAAACAGTGGTGGGTAGAGGACTGAAAATCTATACTTAAGTAAAAGTGCTATTACTATTGAGAAACCTACTCAAGCTAAAGTAAAAAACGTACCTGGTTAATAAAACACTCCTTACATTTTAGTATTTTTTAAAGTGTGATTACTACTGTGGTTATATGGTCACAAACTAGTATTACATTTGGTTACCTGCTTTTTTAAAGTACACTCATTTAAAAGCCCAACAGACCACGAGCTACAAGTTAATGTCATTAATGTCAACATCAAATATTAACGTTACACACGGAAAAGGAACCGTTAACTAACTGCATTTTCACCTATAATATGTGAAACTTACTTCAATGTGCTTGCAGAGGTTAGAAGAGGAGTTTTTAAAAGTGAAGATCTCAGCAGGTCTTCATTGATTTTGGTTTAAAAATGGCCACATGTGGCCAGGGATTATTACCGGAAGCTGCCTCTTATTTTTCATTCATCATTGCATCACGGTGGAAAGACAGGTGATGCTTATTTTTCTTCAGGGCAATCTGCAACTAGCAGTCAAGGTGCTCCTCGCACACTTAATCCCTGCATGTTGAGCAGAGTTGTAACAAAGGTATAAATGGCAAATAAAGAAAAAACGCATTTGAAAAATACTTTTTACTCGTGTGTGTTCATAATCTGTTACTACCTACCCGAGTACATAAAGCACTCACCCATTTCTGTTTTCCCGCTAATACACTCAGCAGTGATCCAACCATCATGTGGATCTGCTGTAAACTCTGGTGGTGAACTGCAAAGTGGTCATCTTAAGAGGGTGTTGGTGTGTGTATATGTGTGTCGGTGGTAGTTGTGTGTGTTGTGTGTGTGTGTGAACCTGTGGTTGTGTGTTCCTGCAGTGATAATCTCCATTAATGCCTCGTCTCCTCTCATCCTCTAAATGCTCTCCCGGTATGGGAGGAATGCATCACTTTGTCTCTATCTCTTTCTTTCTTTCTCCGCTCCCACCCAGGGGTGATGATTACGCCTTTACACCACCCGCCCTACATAACACCATCCCACCCAGTGGCTACTGTGCCCGTCTTTAAGCCCTACAAAGGCTCTGACATTTAAGAAGACTGTTGACTCCTTAAGCCCTTCAAAGGAGGCGCGACGGTGGCTGTAGTCGTTACAATGTAGAAAGAATTTCATTAGTGCCTCTATGTGATTTTCCTAGCACCCTGACAATGGGCTTTACACAAACACACTTCAGAGGGATCAAGTGGTCAAGTCAGCATTTACAGTACATTGTTAGCTCATATACAATGGGCATTTTCATCGGGGCAGTCAAAGATAAGTTGCGACTGTACAGATAATTTCCATAAAGCACGGCCAGCCGTGATTCATTGGTTGCTAAGCCAGTGCGTGTGGAAACCTAGGGAGCTTGTTGGCAGTCTTAATTGTTTTCTGCTGTTTTTTTGAGCTTGCCAGAGTGACCAGCATCTCCATATGTTGATGTCTCCAGGAGGCTGCAGTGTTTTTGTTAGGTCCTTCCTTGTTTAACTACATTGTCTGAAATCCATTTGCAAGGAACGAACTGTATGTAGGCCAGCTGATGTTGTTGGCGTTGCCTCTGCCGAGCAGATCATGTTCTCAGCGCTGATGTTTTGTAAGGTAGAACAAAAACTTAGTAACAGATTTGGTGGAAAGTTAGGCCACTGTCCAAGGAACAAGTGATTCGCTTTTGGTGCTGAATTTTTGAAAGGATTTAATTTTAGTCTTTTTTCTAATAAACTGCTGCACTTATTTGTGCTGTATGAACAAAATATGGCACATTACTCATGCTGTATGGATTTTAATGCAGATCTCTATGCAAATGTGTGTGCAGCCTTCAATTCCCTGGCATTTTTACTCTCTGCGTGTCAGGTAGTTTTCACTCANNNNGTTTTAATTTCTTGCCATGTCCTTTGGCAAGTTAATAATAGATAGATAGGTAATTTGTATCTGTGTCTTCAGTGTAACATGGCACATTAGAGATCTGTTATCAGCTGTCATTGTTAGATATACTTAATAAAAACAGAAAAGCTTCCATTTATGTACTGTATTAGGTTGAACTAAAGGATTGTTAATAACAATTAAAAGACATTCTATAGTAGGGTTGTGGAGATTGGATTAAGTCCCTTGAGACTGTTATGGGACTCAAACCAAGAACATCTGTTCTAGTTTTTACAAGAACACCACCCTCACCTGTACTTGGAGAGAGGACAAAAATGCAGAGGTTTGAAAAATGAAACAGTAAGTTGTCAACTGAGGGAGGAAAATCCAACTGTAATTTGTTTGAAATTACACTGATTTGACGGAAAGGGGGTCTAGGAAAATCTTAAATATTTTATTGCTAAGAATCTAAAACATTAGTTTAGCACTTCGATGTTTCTGTAGTTAATTATATAAAGGAGCACCTTCTCAACCTTCTCAGTTATTATTGATGCAATAAAGGCGTGCAGTCATGACATTCAGCAGATTGTTTTGTTTTTTCACCAGCTAATGGATCCAGAATTTCACTCATTTCAGTCCGTCTAATTTCTCTGCTGTTACAGGAGAGTCTAGAACAGGAAAGACTGATTGAACACTGGCTGGCAGC